CGATCCCAATACGAAGTTCGCGAACATTAGGGATATCCATCGGGCTCAAATCGAAGCGGGTGAAAAGGAGGTTATCACGGCTGAATCCAGCGACTCTGAATGCCCTAGTGAGGCTGGCAGCTGTATTGTAGTGGGTGTGGTTGAGGATCAATAGTTAATAGTAATGAGGAGGTTGGGTTGTGATCCCATCGTTTTTGTGGTGCCAGAAACAGGGGGGTGCCAGGAAGTGGGTATGTTGACTTAGCCTCTGGCCTGAGTCCTGACTAGAAAAGACTAGCCTTCGACGGAGGAAAGCCATCTTCAAGAAGTACCTCTCCAAGTTGCTTTGTTTGTTCAGACTGGATGAATATTCGATGTCACGAATCACGCTATCATGGATATCCCGGACATTCCGGATCAATAATCATTCATCGAACATCGAGTCCAGCGGTTCAAGATTTCCGATAACGGCTCGAAGCGTCCCGAACACTCCGAGCTCACCCTTCGGTTTCTCGAGCATACATGGCCGATGGCATCTTTGCAAGAAAGAATGCCAATCAACTCATCATGCGCGTGACTACGTACGCCAAGCTCTACCCCACGCTTGAGATCACTAAATTCATATTACCCCTCACTGCCAGCCAATCCTCCGAAGATATAAGCTGCAGTCTCGTTGCTTGAAATCGGCTCTTTCACCGCTGGCTCATGTTGCATTACATGAACGCTACGCCCGATAGGAAGTTCGTAGGATGTCACGTAGGCACCATGAGGTGCGGACAACGCGGGCTTTGCAAGTGAGATTGGCTCATGGTATTGGTCGAAGAAGACTCAATGGTCTTTCCTCGGTTACTGCCTTGATTCTGCATGCTTATGGAACTTTTGAGCCTTGTAAGAGGGGCTCATGATATGACGAGCATACGGTAATCCTCAAGACTGCATGTTTAAAAGTCAAGTAACTTGATCATTTAAAAACACTGGATCTTCTAGATCATCAAGGGAATCAAGGGAATACTGCGGTAGTTCCATTATGCGACAAACTCTTCTGTCATTGGCCTTGACGGCCACAAGTGTCTACGCTTGTCAGCGTGACTGGGCAGCGCTGAACCGCCGCATCAAGAGCCACAGTCACCACGATCATGGTTACAAGAAACGAGACATGGCAGTGGATTACCCACCTTCTCTCACGGAATACGAGTCTATACTTGTGAACTCCTTTGATAGCAAATCGCTCGACGAATGGTCTCACTACTATACGTCTGGAGATCATCTTGGCGGACACAACCGAACTCTAGCTGAGTGGACGCAACAAAAGTGGATTGATGCTGGCTGGGATGCTTCCATTGAGGAATATTGGATCTGGTATACTGCTCCTCTTGAGACTACCTTGACTTTGAATAGACCCGATGGAAGCGTCCACAATGTCAGTTTAATCGAGGACATGCTGGAGGAGGATCCTACTACTAGCTATCCCAACCGAATCCCGGCCTACCATGCCATGAGCGGAAGCGGCAACATCAGCGCCGAATATGTTTACGTCGGGTATGTTGACCCCAGAACCACGAAATAATCGCTGTTAAGGGTCCTAACTTTTGGGTGCAGTCGCGGACAACGCGGAGATTTTCAGGCTCTAAAAGATGCTGGGATCGAATTGGAAGGCAAGATTGCGCTGTCCATGTACGGTGCGATTTACAGAGGAACCAAAGTGAAGAATGCACAGGTATGTCTCACTCGTTCTGCGGGATGGTTCCAAGAAGTTGACAATTCAGGACAACGGCATGATCGGGGCTGTTCTTTTCACCGATCCTCTTGATGACGGAGAAATCACCGTTGCAAACGGCTACCTTGCGTACCCAGGTCAGTCCAGAACGGAGCCCCGTATGTCAGGTTCCACAAAGACATATTTGACTAAGACATTGGATGACTCTAGATGGTCCAGCTAGAAATCCTTCTATGATCCAAAGAGGCAGTGTCCGTTTCTCCTCACTGTACTCAGGTGATCCATCTACAGTCGGATATGCATCAGAGAAGGATGGCCCTAGGAATGATGTGACTCCTTACAACCCAACCATTCCATCTGTGCCCATTAGCATGAAGGATGCGGTGCCATTGCTCGCCGCTCTTGATGGAAGCGGCTTGTCCGCTGAGCAGGTCAACCGCAGCAGCTGGATTGGTGCACTGCCGAACATCACTTACAGCAGCGGTCCAACACCAGGTGCCACCCTTGATATGGTCCATTTCATGAATCAGACGGTCGCTCCCTCTTGGGATGTTATTGGTATCATCAATGGAACCCATCCCGACGAAGTCCTCATTATCGGGAATCACCGCGACGCTTGGGTTATTGGGGGTGCAGCGGATCCAAACTCGGGCTCTGCAGTTCTTATAGAACTTTCCAAAGCCTTTGGCAAGCTTCTGGACAAGGGATGGAAACCCCGTCGTACGATGTATGTATGCTGCTTCTGTGTTCCTTTCTTCATGCAAGGGAACAAAACTGATTCGACTTCTAGCATCTTGGGCTCTTGGGATGCTGAAGAATTTGGCCTGCAAGGGTCGACTGAATGGGTCGAAAGCCATCTGCCTTGGCTCGTGACGAACGCTGTCGCCTATTTGAACCTTGATGTCGCTGTTTCAGGCCCCCGAACTGCTCTTTCTGGGTCAGGCGAGATCCAAACGGTCGCCATTGAAATGATGAAGAAGGTTCTTTTCCCTGAAGGTTGGGGGGTTGGACCAACCTTGTACGACATGTGGTTCAACACTACTGAGGGTGAGATTGCTCCTCTGGGAAGTGGCAGCGATTATGCTTCCTTTTACCACAATGGCATTAGTGCTGTAAGTCTTCTGAAATACCCCTGACGAGATAGCTGAGACTGATACATAAGTAAGATTGACATCGGATCAGACGGAGGCAAAACTGACCCGGTCTACCATTATCACGGGTAAAGCCATGTCTTTCACGTGATTCTCATGACGCATATGACTGATGGAGAGTAGACACTACGATTCTTATACCTGGATGGCAAAGTTTGGAGACCCAGGCTTCAAGATTCATCGAGTAATGGGCCAGTGGCTCACCTTGGTCGCATATCACATCGCCGATGATGTGATTATCCCCTGGGATCTGCCCAATGCCGGACGCGTGCTACGAAACCATTACGAGGATCTCAACGACACCGTCGCCGGGGACTATCCCAGCCTAAGTCTATCACCCATCCACGACGCGATTACCGAGTTCGAGACCGCAGCCGAGCGCATCGCCACAGTGGCCAAACAAGCCCTCGCTTTCAACGACACGGTCCTCATCAACGTTATCAACGGCAAGTACCGAGATTTCTCGCGTGGCTTCGCAAGCGCCGGCGGTCTCCCTGGACGCCCGACATTCCACAATGTCATAAGTGCTCCCGGTCTCGATAACGGCTACGGCGCCGATGTCTTTCCCGCCGTACAGGATAGTCTGAGCTCTGGCAATGAGACGCAGGCCCAAGAATGGGTAGAGAAGAGCGCATCTGCAATCTCCCGCGCAGCAGAGATTCTTGGCATCTGAAATGTATAGATCTGTGTGTTCTGTTTTGCGTTTTTTTAATAGTATCTTACATAATGTGGATTGCATCTCAATACATCGCTCCAAAGAAATCTGAACATCAATCTGCTTTGCAGTACAGACAGGGTATTATCGATACTTTTCGCGCTCCTTCGCCAGTCCCATTAACACCGACAATGCCGTGTACGAATACAGGTGGTCAAATAGACGTTTACCAATCACTGAGTTTGCTTCCTTTCTGTGAGTCTCCGTACAACGAGCGATCACGATCGCTGGGAGAGATTTGCAACAAGCTATCGCTCGTAGTCAATCGCCTTAGCGGAACCCGGTCGGGCGTCAGGGTAGCGAACGAGTCCTTCTTCGTAGAATTCGCTGTCGAGCTCTCGGGGAGATCATCCGTCGCAATGGTCGCAATGTCCTGAGACACAATCTTGACGTTGCCGGAAGCTCTGGTGGAAGTTCTATTCGTGGAGATATTGGTGACGTAGAGTAGCTCGGGGAAGAGTCGTCGGACGAGAGCTCGGGCTGCTGGCATGCATGCCACGATTGTTCCAACGCAAAGCTCGATGTGGGACCATAGTGCCAGGCCAAAGAAGTCGTCTATTCATACGTCAGGAAGAGGAACTTTGAAAACCAAGGGTTACGTTAACTTACAGGTTGGGTTCCATGATTTGTTGAACTGTGCTACACTGCGCAAGCGAACGGCACTGACAATAGTGATGCTGTAACATGCAGATTAGTCGAAAGACATAGTAACAAACGAGGGTGGCTGGACTCACAAGATGCCAACGCCAAACATGGACATAATACCGGCTTTCTGCCTCTTCTGCAGGTTGAGCTTGTAGATCTGCGTGGCTGGTAGAACCAGCATCCAGAGATCAAGAGCGATGTTGATGGCCGCATGAGAGAGAGCCATGGCCGACAAGTCAATGCAATAACCGGGATGTCTGCCATCCCATCCAAACCAAAAGTAGCTGAGAGGTTTGCATTGGTTCAAGTTGACAATGACAAATGTGACGCACACAACAATATTGAAGATGTGCGTCGCCCACAAGATTCGGCGGAAAGTCTCGGTGAGTGCTCCGAAGATGCGTATGTAGAGGAATAGTATCGACGCTTTGATGACGGCAAGGGTCACAGAGTAGACAATCTCAAAAGCGAAGAAGCCCTGAAGTTGCGAGTTAGTCATGTTCTCAATGTCGTTGGGCTCTCGAACTTACCCTGATGAAATTTGTAATCTGATCCACCGTGAGCGTCCAAATGTCTTTTCCGAATCCCTCTTGCCGTCCAAGATGTGTGGCGACCAAGAACGCAATCATCATTACCTTTGTAATCAAAGGTTAGCGAAGACCTCACTTCGGGATCGCTCCGCTAGACTTACGTATGCAAAGGTAATGGTCGTATCGTCCAACCCCCAAGTCGATAAACCTATCCATTTCGTCGCCAGTCGCATGGCAAAAAATAGTGTCACCATTCCGAAGAGAAATGACGGAACCCATGCGATGGAAACGCCTTCATCATGATAAGCGAATCCGCAGTCTTGCCATGTTCGATTCTTCGTGACTAGCAGGCCCGTGTTAGCATCTCCTGGCATCTTACAACAAGCAGCCATGATATTCTTACTCAAAGCTTGCTGCACGCTGCACTGGACCCGAACGCAATGGATCACAGCCATGTTATAGTTCATGTCTTCGCAAAGACATGTCGAATTACTGAACTGGCATGATGTATAGTCGAGGGGTTCGAATAGGCATGGTAACTTGGGTAACTTGTCAGCACCTTCGAGTAAGATTTAGTTCCTAATTACTTACTGCGCAATCTGGCACATCATCGTAGAGGCCATACACTAATGGCAGGCTCGCCAAGAAAGATAGTAAAATAAGATATGGCTTCATCGCAACAATGATATGGTTCTCGCTGTGGTATCAAATGGTGTTGTGATCAAATCATGACGGAAGTGAAGGCGTCCAAGGACTCGTGGGGGTGCGTTCCGGTGAACACCAAAGTCGGGAAGACCAGCAGTACGAGATTGGGCAGAAGAAGGGACGAGAGAAAATTGTGCAACCATGAGAGGGGGAAATACCTGGGAAGGATAACAAATATGGATGAGGGTACGGCTCGGATCAGCCGCCGGGGAGGACGGGGCGTCGTCGTGCAAGCCACGGCGGAGATGGCAAAGTAGCCTTCCGGGTGCGGACAAGTCGGCCCAGACCACTGGGGCCGTCATCTGAAAGACTGCCTGATGCTGGGAGGGGAAGGGGGTGGAGGGGGTGGGCGTGTTCAAGTGTCATTCGCTCACACGCTTTCTACGGTATCCCACGTTTTCCATCCGACCTATGACTGCCTTGGGTGGGAAGGCCATGGTTTCCTGGTGTGACTTTACGGCTAAACCCTGAACTGAAGGACAAGGTCTCAGATGCCCGCGGACAGATGTCCTGCAGATAGGTTTCCACTTCTCTGGCTGAGGTGCGGTCAACGCCCCAGAATCTGAATCGAGGGGACGATCGGAGCCGGGCAAAGGCCTGAAGTCTGTGTGGATTGGTCGGTCGTTCGCTTAGTTAAAGTTTGAGAACCTTCACGAGGACGACTTCCGTCTTCTGGAAATCGAAAGGCCAAGCACACATGTCAAGACCGCCGAGGAAGGCTCGCCGTCCGTATTCTGGTGTTGGCGAAAATGAGAAGCGGTTTAACCGAATGCGGCTCAAAAATGCCTTTAAGCCTCTTTTTCTCTCTCGCTCTCTCTCTCTTTTCCGACTACGCCCCATTCTGCGCCTCAGTAGATGCCGAAGGCACAGTCGAGCTTGACCATAGCTCAGAGACACAACTAGCTCCGATTTAGGCTGTGGCGGCTTGTCGACTCCATGTCGGATCGGCCGCTAGGCCTCGAGCATCCCTTTCAAGAATGTGTTGGGGCCGGGCATTATCACGTTTCGGGGCATGGCTCGCGCTTGGCACCGCAACGCGAGCCCTTCCATTCTTTTGATGTGAAAGTACACTCTTCCCCTTTGCCAGCGACGTGCCGATGATGCCAACGAAGCCTCTTGACGCAAGAAAAAGCCGGCGTCAAGAAACGAGAAGAATTGCCGTTGAACCAAAGTTCTGGGAAAATGAATTCCACTTAGACTCACGATAACTTCAAGGGCAGGTCCCATCACGGCATCCCACCACAGCTCAACCGGGCTGTACAGCTTCTTGAGTGTGCCCACCATCTAGGATGGAAGATTCAAGTGCTGTCAATTGACCGACTCGTAGGGCCCAAGCAATAGCGTAAGCTGACTGTGAACTTGCGTACCATGGGTTCAGGATCGAGACCATTTTCCTGACCTCGAAGGTCTCCTGATGTCGGACTTCCGACTTTGACAAGTGTTTCCGGGAAACAATATGATGCCATGCGACCGGATATGGATTTGATCTCATCAGAGACACGAAAATCTTCAACGAAAGTTACGAAACCCTTCCAAGCGCGTTGTCTCTATGTACACGGCTGCCGGGCACGCTTAAACGCACCCGGCATCCGTCAGCTGTTTTCCCCCTCCTCAGTCTTGACCGAAAACGTGTATACCCGCTTGGCAGATTCCGAGGTGTGCCATTCATCCGGCAATGATAATGTAGCATTCCTGAGGGGGGTTGAGGGCGACAACAAGAAGACCGGTTTTGTGTAACCGAGCTTATTATCGACAGGCTGAAGAACTACCTCGAGGAGTAAAATTCATCCATCGTCACACTTTTTATGACAACGGCTCCCCTCGTTTTCGGCACTTTTTCGCTGGCTCTTCATGGCCTAGACTTTGCCTGTGTGTATAATGAGTCTGGAACGTGGGACTGGACAATATCTTATCTGATCAACCGTCCTGCGTTACGCATCCATTGAACAAGCAACGAGGCATGTACAAGATGTGGAACCTGAGACCCTGGCCGGTTACAGCTCCCTCTTCAAGTCATCCATATGGTTCATACATGTGTCTAGACCTCCGGGCCGCCATTTTCGGACCTCCTCCAAGGTTTCTGTGGACGGTAGGATCACGTACAAATGACAAGCAGGTCCTAGTATCGACACTTTTCATTGCTCAAGTTATTTTCAACTCATGTTCTGACTTCATCCATCGAGTGAATTTGTGCTACAAAGAGCAACCATCTGCTGATCCTCCATCATTATCCGGACTACCGGAGCTAAGAGGGCAAATTAACTTGAACGTATCATCGTGTCCACCATAGATATGGGCGTAGGCTACAGGCGAAGGGTCGAAGGCTAAAACGCCAACAGCCGAGCCTGGATGACACCTCCCCGTGTCCAGGGTTTATCTATGCCCTGATCAGTACACTTGACGGGGTATAAACTCGATCCGGAAACCTGTGTGGCACTACTCCTTTGGCAGTAGCTGCCCCCCCTGGTCTGGGCGTCTATCCTTCCCCGTAAAGAAGACTTCGACTCTAAGACTCGGGCCCTCCTCCGATCCACCAATATCATCGAGGCAAAGCTCAATAAGGCTAGCCATCCGGCTTTTGTCCGCCTGTGGGAGGTTCCGTGGTCGACGACTGTATTCAGCTGAGTACTTGGATAATTAATCCAACCCTCAAAGGCTGTAGTCTCGGGATGAAGGTTTAATTCTCATGTTCGGTTGTCCGATATGATCGTGGAGAAGATACTCGCGCCTCTTCTAGCTCCCCCATGTCGCCAAGCTCGACAGATATATCAAGTGATCAAACTCATGACAGAGAAGATTTTTCCACTTACCAATAACTAGAGCAGGGGTCTAGCCCGGTCTTTCGGCCACTTCCGCTCGTGTGCAATGTGATTTGGGTCGTGGCTGTTTGCTTCGTAAATCGTATCAAGTTCGTAAAGATCATATCTTGCTGACCTCCTTTACCTCAAACTACCAGCTAACGAAGGGTGTTAGTGTGATGATTTCAGTCACGCTTCAAGCCTTGAGTAGCCTGAATGTTGCTCCATTGACAGGCTCGATCCGTAGGCTACCTTACTAGTATGGTAATGGCTTTTTGAC